AGTTTTATTCAAAAGATAATAATTAGATTCCAAATCCAGCTGTAAAAAAAATTAAAATTATTATTCTTAAATGACACATGGTATATTTTCAATGGAAGTATCATAAGCTGAGGTGATAGTACGGTACTATTCTATAATTTCTCCCAGAGGGGGATGGCTGAAGGTTTTTTGTTTTTAAATTTAAGTTTTAATCTTTTTTTAAAATGTAATTTTATTTTAAATATATTATTTAATACCATGTGGCTCTATATTATTGGATGTATGGCCCATGTATATGCCACATCAGCATTTTAACATAAAAATTGACGAAAGTTGACGGCATAGACTATTTTGATGTGCGGAGGGTAACCTTAAGGACCATTAGTGTCACAAAAAAACATTAAGGATGAAAAGCGATAATTTCGCCAACCTCAGAGACCATTTGTGATAAAAAGCCTTTTAATTATTTAATTTCGTGCAGATTTTGTAGAAGAACTCAGTTAATTTAATATTTCTTATGACTTGATGGAAAACTGTTGATAAGACTATTTCAATTTCATTTATGCACTCAAATACTTGCTTTAATCTGATTACAATTCATGTGATGCTGTTTCTTGGTTGTTACTGAATAGATCGGTACTCATTACATATAAATTGTGGTGGAAAGGCAACCACCATTGGACGAATTAACTTTGAAGGGGATCCAGACCTAGGAGGTGCAGCAAAGTTTGTTCCTGTGAGACCTATCTGGGATGTCAGTACTACTGGACATTTCTGGGATGTTACCAACCCCACCTCGAGTGACTACATAGCAAAAAATGCATCCACACTTGGAATGAACAACTCTGAGTTGTACACAAGTGCACGCCTATCTCCTCTTTCTCTCACATATTATGCACGCTGTTTCGGAAATGGAAACTATACTGTGACACTTCGCTTTTCGGAGATAATAATCCGAGGCAATAGATCTTTTTACAGTCTTGGGAGACGGATGTTTGATGTCTATATTCAGGTAGCCAATCCCATTGTTTATGCGCTGTCTATGCTAAGTGAGATGATTTCTGATTGATAAAGTTTGTTTCAGGAGAAACTGGTGTGGAAGGATTTTGACATTGAAAAGGAAGCACAAGGGGTTGATAAGGAAGTCATTAGGTATTTTAATGCAGTTGAGGTTAAGAACAAAACTTTAGAGATCCGATTTCATTGGTCCGGGAAAGGGACAACAACTTGTCCAAAGATAGGAACATATGGTCCTCTTATATCAGCTATCTCTCTAGAGTCTGGTATATTCTGAGTTGCAAACTTTAGTTCTCTCTCTCCCGTACACACGCGCACACAATTCAAAAGTTTGTTTAAAGTTATGTGGAATAAGTACCCAGGTGTAGAGTTTGTTTAATAGAAAACGAATACCAATTTATCATAGAATGGAAGCTTATGTCATTATTGTGACCTTTTTTTTTTGCTTTTCATTTTCTATAATTTTGTAGAGTTCACGCCTCCTCATGATAAGAAAAGCAAGGTACCTATTGTGGTGGGAGCTTCAGTTTTGTGCCTCATTTTCTTGATTTTAGGCATTCTTTGGTGGAAAGGCTGTCTTGATAGCAAGACATCAAGGGAAAAAGGTGCTATTAAGCTACTGTGAAAGTTTCACGTAGTACATTGTTCTCATTATTCTTTCAAATGCCACGTAACTAGGAAAATACACTCTCAGACACTAAGTTCAAAAGAACTGTTGTAAATACGTAAGACATTGTTAATATCCTAACCACGCTCCTTGGACAGCTCTTAGAGAACTGGATCTGCAAACTGGATTTTTCACCTTCAGGCAAATTAAAGCTGCCACTAACAACTTTGATCTTAAAAACAAAATTGGGGAAGGCGGTTTTGGGTCTGTCTACAAGGTACCATATAACTAATTTCCTTACTTCTAGGTCTATACTTATCATGCTTGAAAACTACTAAACTGTATTGATTTCAGGGTATATTATTGGATGGTACTATAATTGCAGTTAAGCAACTATCATCCAAATCAAAGCAAGGAAATCGGGAATTTGTGACCGAAATAGGCATGATTTCTGGTTTACAACATCCAAATCTTGTTAGATTGTATGGATGCTGTATTGAATCAAACCAGTTACTGTTGGTTTATGAATACATGGAAAACAACAGCCTTGCACGTGCTTTGTTCGGTAAGCTTATCAAGTCCAGTGACAAAAAACTGAAATGGTGTATTAAGAAACAAAAATGAGATCATTGATTGGGAATCCATGTTTGTGGCAGTTCCGGAGGAAAGTCCTTTAAAATTGGACTGGCCTACAAGGCAGAAAATATGCATAGGCATAGCAAGAGGTCTGGCTTTTTTGCATGAGGAATCAGCACTGAAGATTGTACATAGAGACATTAAAACTACAAATATATTACTAGACCGAGACCTTAACTCCAAGATCTCGGACTTCGGGTTGGCCAAGCTTGACGAAGAGGAGAACACCCACATTAGCACTAGAGTTGCTGGAACTATGTAAGCTATACTGTTTTTTTCTCTGAACTGCATTTCAGAGCCTAGTTTTGTTTATGAACTTTTCTCCACCCAGCTAAGGAAAACAATCGTTTTTTGTGTGCAGAGGATATATGGCGCCAGAATATGCACAATGGGGTTATTTGACCGCCAAAGCAGACGTCTACAGCTTTGGTGTTGTTACATTGGAAATTGTTGCTGGAAAGAGCAACATGAAATATCGACCAAATGAGAACTTTGTATGCCTTGTGGATTGGGTAAGATGGATCTTCATTCAAATTCCTTCCAACTTGGTCATCCTTCTTTCCTTCTATGAGTTGCTTTTCCATTTTCAAATCTCTTTTCTCTGCTAAATTTCAGGCTCTTGTTTTACAACAAAAAGGGGAATTATTGGAGCTGGTGGATCCCAGATTGGGGTCCGATGTCAGTGAGGAAGAGGCCATTAGGATGATTAAAGTTGCTCTCTTATGCATCAATGCAGCACCAGCGCTTAGGCCTACCATGTCTGCAGTAGTGAGTGTGCTTGAAGGGCGTACGGCTGTTCATGAATTGGTCACGGATCCAAGTACTTACAGTGATGGACTGAGGCTAACAGCCTTGACAAACCAGTTTGATCACAATTCATCACAGAATCAAAGTCAAACTCAGAGCCTTATTCCTTCATCATCAGATGCACCATGGATTGGTTCTTCTGCTACTACTACATCTTCTGATCTCTATAAAATCAATCCCAGTACTAGTTCTTGCTAATGTACTCTAGGCTAGCCTTTAATGATGAGATTCTCTGCAGTTTCATCAATAGCTGAAGAAAGAGCTGTAGATTTCTCTAGGCTAGCCTTTAATGATTGCTGGGTAGCTTTGAGTTTCTCAAAACTTTCAACATCAACCATTGCCAAAAGAACTATCTATCTATCTATCTTTCTTTCTCAGAATCCCCAACAATTAACTGAAATAACTTGTGTCACCTTTTATAGTGCACTAAGATTTTAGAAGAGTGCAGTACAAAATTCTGTCATGGTTTCTTCTAAACTACTCAAACTTACCAAATCAAATTAAGAGAATAACCATATTCAAAGCAACCCTCAGTTGCAAGATAAACACTACAATACATAAATACCAAATTATATACATACATAAACAGCCAGACTATCTCCTAGCTTCTGTGGAATTCTGAAAATTGGTAGTTTTGTACACAAAAACTCATCTCCAAAGAAAGATTTAGGGCGCTGTCCTAAAATTGTTTGCCCATAATTAACTTTTCAAAAGTCCTCCAAATTTTGTTAGAACATCATTAATATAACTTCTAGTATGGTGAAGGTTATGAAAAGTTTATTTGTTGATCTTTTTTTTTTTTTGGGTTTCCAGAAGTAATTGTTTCTTTTGCGTATATAAATATCAAGGACAAACAAACAAATGGTTAGTAAGTATGGCTGCATAATCAAATATTCGCAAAGACAAATCAAAATATAAGATACAAAATTAATTACTCCGTTTTTTGTTTTTTCTGAATCATCAAAATTAATTACTCTTTTTTTTCTTGCACCCTAACCCTAAACCCAACCTCATTTTCAATCTGTTAGATCAAAGCACAGAAAAACATTGTTTGAAAGAGAGAGATGGACTTGGAGTCCTGGAGCTTGGCAGTGGACTTCTTTTCGACGCCGAGAACGATGGTGTCGGTGCCACGTACGCCGACGGCGGCGTTACCCTTGCGCACAGCTTTTAGATGGAGATCGATTTTCGAATCAAAAGAGAAGAAGGCGAGGAAACAGGTGAACAATGGAAGCGGATGGAAAGAAGAAGGCAACGAAGAAGGTGAACGATGGAAACAAAAACTGAAGGCTTGGGCAGATGGTTCTGCAAAAACGTCGAACAAAAATTTCGAGTGACTAAAATATTAGAATCAAGGAGAATTGAAATATATGTACATCACTTGTGTAAACCACAAAAATTAATGCAAGGCAAATGCTTTAAAATCAAACACATTGGCTCAAAGGAATGAAACCA